TGGCTTAAGCTCCGGGCTCTGGCTGTCCTCTGGCCATTCCATGAACTTAACATTATCTAATCCTTTAACTCATTTAAGTCCAAAAGCAACTATAAGATTGTGAGATTAGTGTGGTTGTTAAACCCTTTGCAGAAGAAAAGACTGACTGACTCAGCTGGAGGTGGTGTGTGTGGGAGTGCGTGTATGCTATGTACAGTATGTAACCCATGCTGGCCTGCGACTCCAGATCATCCCATCTCAGAAAGGTTAAGTAACTTGACTCACATTGCCCTGACACATTGCCAGTCTTGAACACCAGGTCTTTCCAGTAGGTTTTGCAGCCCTCCCATGCCCACATTTACAACAAAGTTCTGACCATTGATTGCAAGCCAATTACAGGTGGCTTTCAAGCCTCTGAGTTTGTCCCATGTCAGAGTCCAAGAGAAATCAATTACCCATTGCATTACCTGGTAGTTAGTTCTCTGGATAGAGCAGTCAAGAATAAAACCATCAGGAGGGATACAAAATAAAAGCAGCAATCAATTTCAGTCACTGAGCTTTGTTGCAAATAGATCTCCGAAGGTGAGAAAAATGGATTCTTTTGACTAGATGCTGGTTCATGCTGTGCCCATGATTTTATTCCCTTTGTTCTGAAGAAATGAGTAACTACCAATTCTCTACTGTTCCCTGTGGCTGAGCTACTTCTGCTGCCCACTGGTTGCAGAAATTTAATTCAACAAACGTTTATTGGTATGCCTTCCCTGTGCCTGTCCATACATGAGGGCTGAGGGTCCAGGGCCCCACAAAGGACTGAGGGTCTTGGGCCCAGCAGGCCCAGGTCTTGTTTTTAGAGTTTCACGTGTTTTCTGGGTCCTTCGTGAGCAGCTAGGAGGATTTGCATCAATTTCTTTTTACATTTTGGCTAAACACAGCCCTCTTCTCAGAAAGTTCCCATCTAGAACAGTAGAACTCTTTGTTTTCAGGGAGTATAGAAAGGGAAGGAATGACACAAATATCCACAAGTCCACTGATCTTCCACTTCAGGGCCAACCCTTCATCTATTCCAAGATAAACAGTGCATTTATAACATCTTGATAAAAGCAAGTTATTTGCACAATTGCAAGTTAGCTACCTCCCTCCACACTTATCAAGTGATCACATCCAGGCTTTGTATAAATTCATCTGAAGTCCTTAGACATAAGAGGTGGGGGAAATTTTAAAAACAGTCAAATGATTGCTTATGTGCCACTGCCCTGATATGAAGAGGCAGATGGACCTTGAGTCAATTATCTCTGCGTCCTAATCTTGGAATAATAGTGCCTTCCTTTAAAAAAAAAAAAAGTGCCTTCCTTATGGAGCTTTTCCAGGACTAAAAGAGCAAATGTTAAGCACACACACAGACCTCCAACATCTGCATATCCTATTAGATCAAAAATAATCTGGGGGCTGGGAAGGTGGCTCAGTGGTAGAGTGCTTGCCTTGCATGCATGAGGCCCTGGGTTTGATTCCTCAGCACCACATAAGCAAAAAGAAAAAAGCTGGAAGTGGTACTGTAGCTCAAGTGGTAGAGCGCTAGCCTTGAGCTGAAGAGCTGAGGGACAGCACCCATGTCCAGAGTTCAGGCCCCATGACCGGACCCAAAAATTAAAAAAAATAAAAAAATCTGTGTCGGGCTGGGAATGTGGCTCAGTGGTCGAGTGCTTGCCTAGCATGCATGAAGCCCTGGGTTCAATTTCTCACTACCACATAAACAGAAAAAGCTGGAAGTGGCGCTGTGATTCAATAGTAGGGTGCTAGCCTTGAGCAAAAGAAGCTCAGGGACAGCGCCCAGACCTTGAGGTCAAGCCCCAGGACTAGCAAAAGATAAAGAGAGAGAGAGAGAGAGAGAGAGAGAGAGTGTGTGTGTGTGTGTGTGTGTGTGTGTGTGTGTGTGTTTCTGAGGATTGAACACCGGGACTAAGCCCCAGCACTAGCAAAAAATAAAATTGTGTGTGTTTCTGAGGATTGAACGCCGGGCCTTGCCCATGGTACTACCCACCACACCTCCAAATTTCTTTTTACATATAATCCCTTTGTCTCATTTTCCATATTTCCATAAGGTTTCTTTTTTTTTTTTTTTTGTCGGTCATGGGCTTGAACTCTGGGCCTGGGCGCTGTCCCTCAGCTCTTCAGCTTAAGGCGAGCTCTCTACCACTTGAGCTACAGCGCCACTTCCGGTTTTCTGGTGGTTTATTGGAGATAGGAGTCTCACGGTCTCTCCTGCCCGGGCTGGCTTTGAACCGTGATCCTCAGATCTCAGCCTCCTGAGTAGCTAGGATTACAGGCGTGAGCCACCAGCGCCCGGCTTCATAAGGTTTTTTGCTCTGTTGCCTACTCCTTTATGTATAATTGTTTCCCTTCTTGCTGTGTTTGGTGACTGTAATCTTCAGTGGCCCCCTACTCCGTGATAGGGTATGTTGACACCATCACAGCTGTTCCATTTTCCTCTTGGACATTTGAGCTGCTTCCGGATAAACAGTTGAGGATGGGGTGGAACAGACACAGGTGGGCTAGACTTTTCCCTGCTGTGACAAAATGAACTTAAAAAGAGTCTCTTACAGGGCCTCACAGCTTCAGGGGCTTCAGTTTATGGTCAACTGACTTCATTGCTTTTAGGCCTGTGGTGAGGCAGAAACATCATCGTAGAGGGTCATGATAGATAAAAGTAGTCAGGAAGCAGAGAGAGGAAAAGAGGAGGATCTGGAGAAAAGACATACAAGACATACCCATGAACAGCACACCTCCAGTGGCCCACTTCCCCCAGCTGGCCCTACCTCCTAATTCAACTATGAACTATCAGTAGATTGCCCATGGATGAAGCTGGCACCCTGATGATTCAGCCACCACCAGCGGGGGTTAGGGGGGAGGGACGGTAAGATGACCACATACGATCCACATGGTAGCACATGCTAGGCAAGCATATGGTCACTGAGCTATATCCTCAGCCTGATGAACAGATTTTATATGTAATTTGTTAGCTTACTTCCTGGGAAATCTTAGGCAAGTTATTTCATCCCTGTGTCCTCGTTGCCACACATGGCAAACAAGAACTGACCACTGGCTGAGAAGATGGCCATGTGGACTACATGACAGCCCTTGGAGCAGTGCCTGGCGCTCCCCAGACACTCAGTAGACCTTGCCTCCTGGTCTCCACCTTGCTTGTTCTCCAGGGATGGGGCTTCTTAAGTCACTGCTTTCAAGAAGGGTTTTAGCAGCTTATGGTATCAATAACAATAAGTATAAGGATCAACTTCTTCACAGCTTCATTCGCAGTGCATCTTCATTTGAACCATGTGACTCTTTCTGAGTAAAATTAGTAGCGCAAAAACAAGATCATTTGGTACTTTTACAGATCATGTCAGGACTGGGTCTTGCTGCTGCTCACCCACCTCAACACAGACCTCATCTCTACCTTGGTCCAAGACCATTCAGAAGTAATCTCAGGATGCATTCTGCCACTATCTAAATTTGTCTTTTGATGCTTAAAAAAGCCAGGATACTGTGTTCCTTACTGAAGTGCATACTTTTAAGATGTGGTCTTAGTCTGCCTGCTGTTGCAAATTACACAGTACCATAGACTGGGTAGTTACAAAGAATGAGGATTATTTTGGTTCAGTTCTGGCTTGAGGTGGAGGGCCTACATTTTTGGCTTCTTGCTGAGTCCTAAGGTAACACAGGGTGTCACATGGTGGTAGACAAGTGTGCATCTGTCTTCTCAGTGTCTTGGGGCTACACGTGGATGATCTTACCTAGCCATGGTCACCTCCCTAAGGCCCCCCTCTAAACTAAGCTCCATAGTCAGCCTACTCCTCCCTCTTAGTACCTCACTGCAGAGAGCAAATCATACTCAGATCAGCACAGATCTCTTTGTACTTTTACTTTTTCCACACAAGACAGTTAGTGTGCTCTAGGAAATTCATTTTGGCAGGCAGTGACCTCTTCCCATGTCTTCCTCCTCCATGGGAAAAGACTGGCAGGTGTCACATGTGCCCTGGACTCTCCAGGTTCGTGTTGCTGTCCTGCTGTGAATCACCATCGTGCTCTCTTCACCCTCTAGCATGGATAGTTTGGAGGATAAATTGTCAAATACAAATGTGATGGCTTCCTAAGAAGCTGAGGCCTGTGCCTGCACTTGCCACCTCTGGACTCCTCTGGCAGCTTGCTGTCTGCCCAGCAAAGCAACATGGCTGGCACATGCATAACCTGTAGTTCCCTGTATGTGTCTAAACTTTTTTTTTTTTAATCCTTGCAGTAGTGAGGTGGAACTCAGGGCCTCATGCATGGTAGGAAGTGTTCAACCACTAAATCTCTCCCTACCAGCCCACGAGCTGTCTAGTTTTACCACTTTCTTCCATGTCTTACCTCCATGTGGTGGAGGTAGACACTTTATTTGTCGCAAAGCTGCTCTTGGTCCTTCAGAAATTCTAGTTCTGCAGCTCTGGCTTGTGCAGGCATTTCTCACCACTCGCAATTTTTAAACGTCTGCTTTCAGTCTTGTCATAGGCGTAATCCTTTTCTTACTGAGACTTTGAGCATCCCTGTTCTTGCCCTTGTCAATTGTTTAACAAGGTTAATTCTTTTTTTACACACTACAAAAGCCTTCCTGAAACTGTTTAGCCTTGTGTAGGCCTGGGCCAGGCCAGAGGAGAGTGAGGGGTGAGGTTTAAAATACTGTGCATAGCTCTCATCAACTACTGCCTGGAGCACAGTTTCCTCCATAAGATAAGGTTTTATCAGTATGGAAGCTTCTGTACTGGAAAAACAGAGCTGGGCTGCCTACTGTGATTAAGTAACTGCTCTATCTGGCTTACTGGCCCTGCACTTTGAGAGGCGCTTGCATTCCCTGCATAACCTGTTCATCTGGAGGAATCCTACTGGCTTGAGCCAACATACTTGGGGGGTAGGGGGGAGAGACACTGTTGTTCATAGAGCAGAGCCTGTATGCTTAACAGAAGATTAATTGTTCTGTTTGTTTCAACTAGGTGACTTTCGGATGGTAGTCGGAGAGGAAAAGTCAAAAATATTTAATATTGTGAAGCCCAACGTGGCCCACTTCCGTGAGCTCTACGGCAGCATACTGCAGGACAACCCCCAAGTGGTGTATAAAACCCAGCAAGGCAGACTGGAGGTAAATGCTGTGGAAAATAGCCAGAGCTGTGAGGACAGTGAGCAGCACCATCACATTTGTATTTGAAAATTCAGTCGTGCCTCTGCGTGGGGTAACAAGGTTAGGGAAAGGGTGCCTCTGGAGAAGGGAGCCAGCCAGAGCCAGAGGGACACTAGGCGTGTCTTTTCTGCCACCTGTCAAAGGAGTGAAGGTCAGCTCTGAGTTTGCCCTCTGCTTCCCTAGCAGTGGTGTGCTCAGCTCTCGGGGGCTTTCTTCCATGTGTGTGCACACTCCTTTGTGTCTGAACATAACATGGTATGAAGAGGACTGTGTCTTACAGAAATGTGCTCACACATGCACCATGCTGAACTATTTCCCCACTTGCTGTGTTAACTCTGTCTGGAACTTTTATAACACTTTCTTATTGAGGTACTTGAAAAAATATTTAAATTATTCAAAATAAAATCCAGGGCAGGGCCTCAGTGGCTCACCCCTGTAATCCTAACTATTCAGGAGGCTGAGACCTGAGGATCTCGGTTCAAAGCCAGCCTGGACAGGAAACTGTGAGACTCTTATCTCCAATAAGACCACTAGAAAACCGGAAGTGGCACTATTGCTCAAGCTGTAGAGCACTAGCCTTGAGCTGAAGAGCTGAGGGACAGGGCCCAGGCAGAGAGTTAAAGCCCCACGATCAACAAAAGAAAAAAAAATCCAAAGAACCTTTCTTTGGAGAAAGGTAATTTATAATTTTTTTAACTGTAGAAACTGATGTTTTTGCCTGTAACATAAAGAATGTGGTGTTTTAGTTCTTTTCTGATGTATGTTCTGCAGCCAGGTCTTGGGGCGGCCAGCACTGTGCTGAGCTCAGCACAGTGGATTCCCAGACCTGAGAAGAGGTGCTCAGCCTCAGTCCCGCAGTTTACCCATGCACTTCAGGTGTGGGGTGGGAAGGTTAGCTTTTACTTCTATCAGAGTAATGCCCACACGTGGTTTGGAAGCCAGGTGGTACCTCAAGTTTTCAAAGTAGAACAGGTGCCTGCACCACTCTTCCTTGCTTTTTCCCTACTTCCTATAGGCAGCCTGGTGTGGTCCCCTATAGCTGATTCCTGTGAGACTCACCTCTGGAGTCTAAGTAGTAAGATTCGCCTGTTATTTCTTGATTCTGTTCTATACCTCATAATTCTCCAGTGGAAATGAGTTTGTTCCCACTCCTTTACCCTACATATGTGCACACTTCCTCTCCCTTTCTCTCCCTCACTTTCCCCCTCTGACTTCTCATGCTCCACTTGCAATTATTTTGTAAATATTACTTAACATTCATTATTTACTTTGTTATGACCTAGGTCCTTGCCACTGAGTAATAAATACCCTAGCCCTATGACAAGTTTTGTTTATTGCTGACATATAGTATTATGCAGTTTGCTTTCCTTTTTTTTTTTTTTGGTCAGTCCTGAGACCAGAAAGGAATGCCAGGATGGGGTTTGCTACCCCAAGCTTCTTTTGCTCTACCACTTGAGCTACAACACCACTTCCTGCGTTTTCTGTTTATGTGGTACTGAGGAATCGAACCCAGGGCTTCATGCATTCTAGGCAAGCACTCTACCACTAAGCCACATTCCCAGCCTGGCCGTTTGCTTTCCTGTGCAACTTTGTTTTTTCTGAAGTTAACAGGTCCTCAGGTTTATTCACTTGCTTGGTTTTCTGTGTGCTTGCTTCTAATTCATCCTCAGATCCTGACCCATCTGTAAAATTCTTCCATTTCAGACAGTACATAGGGTGTTTTCTGTTTTTTGCTCTTCCCGGAGGTGCCTGGCATGCACCTTCCCAGGCTGCTTGTTTTCTAGAATCCGTGCACAGCCCTGCTGCTCAGACTTCCTCTTACCATCTCCCTGACATCTCCTCTGTCTCTTCTGTTAGTCTTGGGTTTTCTGGTTGTGCTTTACTCCCTTTCTAACATTGGTTGTGAAGTCGATAAGTTTTTGAGACCAGGCACTCTTGATTGTTTGGTGATTTGCAGTTGTCTTTGTGTATATCTGCGTTCCAAATCTCCAGCCTTTTCAGCTGGAAACAGATAAACTTCAATTTTAGAAAATTTTCTTCTAATATTTTGAGTGGGTTTTTTATATCAGTTTTCTTTTTGAAATTCCTGCTGCCTTCATTTGTCTCTTAAGTTCCTGTCCTCTTGTCGCTTCATTCCTGTCTGTTACATTAGAGCTCTTCCTCAAACATCTGGCTTTCTGTCTTTTTTTTTTTAAGCAAGGCATTAAAACAGACTAGGACCTTTTGTGATTAGAGGACTTGTCATTGGAGGGCAGGGGCCAAGTGTTTTATGTCAGCAGCTGTAGAATTTATCCTGCCTAAGAAACAGGGAAGGAGGTAGCCATCTCTGCCAACTGAACTCTGGGCCTGGGCACTGTCCCTCAGCTCTTCAGCTCAAGGCTAGTGCTCTACCACTTGAGCCACAGCGCCACTTCTGGCTTTTTGCTTATGTGGTGCTGAGGAATGGAACCCAGGGCCTCATGCATGCAAGGCAAGCACTCTACCACTGGGCCACCTTCCCAGCCTCTGGGAATTTTCTTAAACATGAAGATAAACATAATCTAAACTCTTCCCTGTGGCCTACAAAGCCATCCCACTTGGATCAGAGTTAAGGGGTACTAAGATGTGTGTCCTGCTGTTGAGGGTCAGTTGCTCCTGCCAAGGTAGAGGACAACGCATTTCCCTACTGCCAAATGTTTACCTGGTCCTGGGAGCTGCAGTCCACCTTCAGACCCGGGGGTGTGGAAATGGGCAGCACCTGGCCTCCTTTTGGGTCACCAGGGTCATGCAAGCTCACTTCTGCTATCCCTTGGCCCCTAGCTCCTCTGTCAACAGGGCATGTAGGACTGTGGAATGGCCTTTACCTGAGTCCTCGCAGGGTGCCACCACTAAGCTGGTGCCTTGGCTGTTCCAGAGAGCTTTGTGTCACAGAGCTTTGCATCAGTAGCCTGTTGACATCTCAATCCTGTGTTGCGGGAGGCAGAAATGGTCCTTTTCAGAGTCAGTCCTCTTCGGAGCTGATGGCTTTGGTGCAGTGTGAGAGCCCCTGGGGATGAGTGCCACGTGCTTAGGTGAGCCCCACCGCCTTTGACAGAGCCACCAAGTTTGCTGCTTCTTTGCTTAGATTTGTAGACAAAGCTAGAAAATCCAGGCATGGGTATATAGGTAGAGTGGATGAGTTATGATTATTAATAAGGTTGCCCATGTCTGAAAAATCTGAATCTAAAACTAAATATATAAAGTTCAGTAGTTTTATCTTTTTATTTGTCTTTCAACAATTTAGTATCTTTAGGATACAGTGGGAACAGAACTTCTCACATAGATCACTCCTATCTGACAACTAATGACACCTAAGCTACAAAGGTTCCGTTTTTATTCTCTCATTGGGGGCCTACTTCTTGCTAGGGATTGATAGTGAGGCCCGTCTTTGTCGTCTGTATGTCCTCCAGTTCGTGCAGCACAGCAGTTTGTAAATGGGCCTACGGGCAGATCCAGATCCACGCTCTGGTTGGTCACTGACCAGGGTTCTGGGTGGTATGCGTCTCAGCATTCCTGCATCGATCTGAGTGTCCCAGCCTGGAGGGGCTTGAGGGTACTTGGTAGCTACAGCTCCACCTCCTCCAACTGGACAATAGAGAATTTTATACTGTCAGTGAGAAATTACTCCTCCAAGTAGTCGGCTCTTATTTTCTCAGGTAGAAAGAGTTCTGAAAGATAAGAATTGACTTCTCTAAGGAATTTGGGATCCTGAACACTCAGACATTAGCTTCCCACCTAACCTAGGCACAGTGCTTGTGTTTGTGTGATTCCATTTAATTTTTTGGGGGGTGGGGTCCAGTTGCAGGGCCTGAACACTGGGCCTGGGCGCTGTCCCTCAGCTCTTCAGCTCAAGGCTAGCACTCTACCACTGGAGCCACAGTGCCACTTCCGGCTTTTTTTTTCTGCTTATGTGGTGCTGAAGAATTGAACCCAGGGCCTCAGGCATGCAAGGCAAACACTCTACCACTGAGCCACCTTCCCAGCCCATCCATTTAATTTTTTTAAAACTCCTGTTTAATTGTACATAATGTGAGATTCCTACTTGTGTCATTTTAAATAGAAGCCCTATGTCCTTGAATATATATATGGAACTCAAAACACTTCCATAAATGCCATCTCTTTTTTTCCTTAGATAGATAAAAGCCCAGAAGGACAATTCACTCAGCTAATGACATTGCCCAAAACCTTACAGCAACGAATAAATCACATTATGGACCCTCCTGGGAAAAACAGAGATGTGGAAGAAACCTTACTCCAGCTTGCTCATGACCCTGACTGCGGCCATGTGGTCCGGCTAGGTATGTCCTTGGACTTGGCACTGAGGAAGTGTTGGCTGAGGGTGGCAGGAGGGAGTGAGACATGTTATTTCTTCCTTCTCCTCTTGCCTAGTGAGATGAAGAAAGATTGCCTCTGGAAAAGAAAGCTGTGACAATATAACTTGCACTGGTTAGAAGCAAGGTGACGGGGATGGTCATTCGTTCAAATTCTTGGGTTTCATCTCTGCTTCCATTCTCGGAGCAGAGCTGCTAGAAGCTGTTTAAAGGCTGTGCTGCCTATACTCTGGTCAGAGCAGAGACTGGTGGCACTTCAGTGCTCCTGTGACACAGGGACACAGCTTTCTCTGAGCAGCTCCCTCACCATGTCCCAGACCACTCAGCAGTGTCTGACCTGACCAGGTTCCACAGTGTTTCCCAGGGCCTAACTACTGTTTGTGACTTCAGAGACCTACCTGACTCCAGGAAGGAAATGGAGACCCAGTCTCTCCCTTCCTCCTTTCTTCCTCTCCATCTCCCTTCCCTCCCTCCCTCCCTCTCTCTCCTCTTTCCCTTTCTCCTTTCTTCACTCTCTCCTTTTCTCCCTCCTTCCCTCTCTCTCCCCTCATCCTCTCTCCCTCCTTTGTTTTATTGTGACAACCCTAAGGTTGTTACCTTGCTCTGCTTAAGTATTCTAAGTGTCTTCACAATGGAAGTTTCTCTCCCAGATAAAAACATTTGACTTTTAATCTTTTTACATGTTGTAACTAAGAATCAGGAGCCTTAAGCAGATTTACATTCCTAAAATGACCTTTGAGGAATTGGCTCTTTTTGTCTTTTTTTTTTTTTTTATTTAAAGTTAGTTATGCAGAGGGGCATGTCACTGTTGCATTTGACGCCTTTACAATGTGTCCTGACCAGCGAGCGTCACCGAGGAGTTGTTGTGGGTGGGGGGTAGCTCCCACAGTGACTAGGCCACTTTCCCGGGTTCCTGGAGCTCGGGCCTCACCATGCTCACTGTCACTTACCACTGGGCAAAACTCCATTTATTGGTTTTGTTGGTAACTGGAAGGAATATGTAAGTTGGGTTTTAAAGCTATGAGGTTTTTCTAACACCTGTTTTTTTGTGTTCTTAGTTCCTTTTTTCTTTTTTCCTCTAGGGCTTTCAGCAATTGTGAGGCCTTCAAGTATCAGACAGAGCACCAAAGGCATTTTTACTGCTGGTGAGAACTTTAAGAAGTTGCTTGGTGGGGCTGGGAAGGTGGCTCAGTGGCAGAGCACTTGCCTTGCATGCCTGAGGCCCTGGGTTCAATTCCTTAGCACTACATAAGCAAAAAGAAAAAAGCTAGAAGTGGTGCTGTGGCTCAAGTGCTACAGAGCTAGCCTTGAGCTGAAGAGCTGAGGGACAGCGCTCAGGCCCAGAGTTCAGGCCCCACGACCGGACCCAAAAAAAAAAAAAAGTTGCTTGGTGTTGGACCCCTGGACTGAGAGGCTTCTGTGTTCTTGGTTAAGATAGCACTAAGTCCAGTACAGTGCTCTCTTTAAGACCACACGCTGGGGTACTGCAGTTCTGTACAAACAGTCATGGCTACAGAAACCTGGTTGTCTAAAACATCAGAACAATGCATGCTGCTGGAGGTTTTGCTGCTGCTCTTGATTCTTGAGTAGCTCCTCCCTGCCATGCCTTGATGCTGCCCCAGTTACACATGTCGCTGAGCCTTGTACCCGCTCACCTGCCCCCAACCTTCTCCCTTTCCCTTCCCCCATGCAGATAACTACTTCTGTCTCTCCTCATGAGGAATTTTGCCATCTCTTTCTCTCTCTCTCTCTCTCTCTCTCTCTCTTTCTTTCTTTCTTTCTTTCTTTTCTTTTCTTTCTTCTTTCTTTTTTTTCCATGTGTGCTGGTCCTGGGGCTGGAACTCAGGGCCTGAGCATTGTCCCTGAGCTTTTGTGCTCAAGGCTAGCCTCTACCACTTAAACCATAGCTCCACTTCCAGCTTTTTTTTTTTTAATTAATTAGAGGTAAGATTATTACAGATTTTCCTGCCAGGCTAGCTTAGAACCACACTCCTCAGATCTCAGCCTCCTAAATATCTAGGATTCCAGGCTTAAACTGCCCATACCTAGGTTTACTGCAGTTTGTTGTTGTTTTTTAATGCTTCCAAGGTCTGGGAAGGTGGCTCAGTGGTAGAGTGCTTGCCTTGCATGCATGAGGCCCTGGGTTCTATTCCTCAGCACCACATGAACAGAAGAAGCCAGAAGTGGCACTATGGTTCAAGTGGTAGAGCGCTAGCCTTGAGCTGAAGAGCTGAGGGACAGTGCCCAGGCCCAGAGTTCAGACCCCACGACTGACCAAAAAAAAAAAATCCAAAAAAAAAAAAAAATCCAAAAAAGAATCCAAAAAAAAATCCAAAAAAGAATCCAAAAAAAAAAAATCCAAAAAAAGATGTTCAAGTTTAGGCAACCATCTAAAGCATGTCCCCAAGGGAGATTAGAATTCGGCTCTCCAGCCCCACCATTACCACTGCCACTCCTCAGGTAAATGTCTGCGGTTGTGGCACAGAGTCCTTTCCTCTCCTGTGATGCTCTTGTTCTCACAGCCTACATGGGATTGGTTTCATGGTTTCATTCTTTTCATTCTTTTACTTGCTTGGCCACAGTTGTCATTTTGGTGAAGCACGTGACCCACTCATTTGGAATGAAAATTGTAAGACCAGGTTGCATGTTTGACAGTCTCTGCTCCCATGATTGATGCTTAGGCTGGGGACAGATTAGGAACCATTTTCCACTAGGGTTTGGGGATCATTGCTGCAAATACTTCTCACGTTGAGGACCACTGTGAAAATCCAAAGCCAATCCCCTTCTTAGCCTTCACATGCGTTTTCTGGAAGCTTGTTAAGCCTTCCACTTTACTAGGCTCTGCAGCCTCCTGGTTGTCTCCCTTTGGTCTGTTTACTGGGTGCTCACTGTGCTTTCAGTTTGGAGACTCCACATAAGCTTTGATTTCCTCCAGTCTGTTTTCTCTATTCTCTTTGCGGAACTTTTATTCAGATGTTGGACCGTCTAAGGTAGCCCTACTAGTCCCTGGCTTGTCTTTGCTTTGTCTCCTAGTTGTTAACCTTCTTGTCTATTTGCTCTGCTTTCTGGGAGATTTTACTCAGTTTTAGTGTTCCTTTCTGTTCTTTTCTTTTTTTTTTTTTTGGTAGGTTGTGGGGCTTGAACTGTAGGCCTGGGCACTGTCCCTCAGCTCTTTATGAAGCTCAAGGCTAGTGCTCTACCACTTGAGCCACAGCACCACTTCCAGTTTTCTGGTGGCTTATTGGAGTTAGAGTCTCACAGACATTCCTCCCCAGGCTGGCTTTGAACAGTGATTCTCAGATCTCAGCATCCTATGGAGTTAGGATTACAGGCATGAACCATTGGCACTCGACTATTTCTTTTTTTAATTAATTGGGTTTTTTTGTGGTACTGGGATTTGGACTCAGGGTCTTAGGCTTGCTGGGCAGGTAACACTTGAGCCATGCTTCCAGCCCTATGTGTGCTAGATATTTTTGTGATAGAGTCTCTTCCTTCCAGGCTGGCCAGGACTGATCCTTCTCTGTACACTTCTGCGGTAGCTGGGAGGACAGTCCCCATGCCACCATACCCAACTTCTTTGAATGAAATGTTGTCTCCTAAACTCTTTTGCTTGGGCTACCTAGGAACTACATTTCCTCTTAAGTATCTTGGGTTTTATAGTCTATTATAGTCTTCAAAATCTCTGGCTCCCGAGTAAAACCAGGATTATAACTGCCCTGCTTTGTTTGTTTGTTTTTGTCATGGAATTCAGGGCCTGGGCACTGTCCCAGGCTAGCACTCTACCACTTGGAGTCATAGCTCCACTTCCAGTCTTCTGGTGGTTAATTGGAGATAAGAGTCTCATGAAACTTTTCCACCTAGTCTGGCTTTGAACCACAATCCTCCTATCTCGGCCTTTTGGAGCTCAAACCTAGAACCTTGTGCTGATTTCTCCTGCTATTTTTAATGACTAGCTCTTTTTTTTTTTTTTTTTTTTTCGGTAGTGGGCCTTGAACTCTGGTCCTGAACGTTGTCCCTGAGCTCTTCAGCTCAAGGCTAGTGCTCTACCACTTGAGCCACAGCGCCACTTCCATGACTAGCTCTTCTTGTTGGTACCTAAATGTTCCTTTATTGTACCTAGTTCTTTTATAGTCCTAAGCACATGGATGTCTTTATACATTGCCATTACTACCCTCCAAAATGTCAGTATTGATTCTATGTAAGCATGCTCTTTTCCATCTCTCCAGCATTCTTCAGCATCAGGTGGGAGGAAGGCTTGCCTAGACCAGGCCTCCTCCCTGTGCCATTTGTTGAGGTGCTCAGATGCAGAAGTGAGTACAGCACCACCCTGATTTCTTTTTTTTTTTTTTTTGTCGGTCATGGAGTCTGAACTCTAGGCCTGGGCACTGTCCCTCAACTCTTCATCTCAAGGCTAGCGCTCTACCACTTGAGACACAGTGCCACTTCTGGCTTTTTCTGCTTATGTGGTGCTGAGGAATCGAACCCAGGGCCTCATGCATACAAGGCAAACACTCTACCACTTAGCCACCTTCCTAGCCCCACCATCCTGATTTCTTAGGATGGTTATGAGGCCCTCCAAGGTACCATACTCTACAGGTGTGCGCGCATGCATACACACACACACACACACACACAGGTGTGAGCTTTCCATGGTGCTTGTGTGGCCACATCTGTTAGTGTCCTACAATCCAGCTACTTAGAGATCTATCCTTCAACTTGACCCTAACACCTGATGTTACCCTCTTGAAGAATTGGGGGGAAGGAGGGGATTCTACAGGAGTTAGGCCAAATCTGCTGAGAGATCTTCCCACCTTTGGGGGAAGAGAGTGCATAGCTTTGCATTTCTGATTAACATAAGCATTTACTGTCTGCTCCTACTGGTTTATCCTGCTGAGACTGTAGGTGTGTGCATTTTGATTCAAGCTGTGTGCCACACCCTTGCTCTGCTCTTCTTGATGAGGCTTGATGATTGGTTTTCCTGATTTTCGGCTGCCTGTGCTGGAAGGAATTAATAGAATTATTAATACATTGTTAGTTACTATAGTGGTGATAAGGGGGTCAAAAAATCCTTTCCTTCCAGAGATACATACTAAAATATTTACAGGAAAAGTGGTACAGTGTCTGGGATTTGCTTTGAAATAAATGGAGGAGAAGTAGTAGAGAGCTTCAGGATACCCGATCGTTTGTGTGTCCATGTGGTCCACACGGGGTACAGACACTGGGTAGATCCTGTTGTTCTGGCCGGGGTTTGTTTTGGGTTTGTTTTTGTTTGTTTTGAGACAGTCTTACCCTGTATCACAGGCTTGCCTCAAATTAAAGATCTCCCGGCCTCCTGTCTCATTCTCTCCAGTACTGGGATTCCTGTCTTTTTTTCTTTAATAAGCTTGAGTTTTTCTCTAAAACCCACTCATCATCTCTGTACCCGTACCTGAAATGTACCCTTGGCCCTCTTCCCTTTGCCAGCAGGGGGCAGTGCCTTGCAGCTCTGTGCCAGGCCCAGGCCAGGGCGACAGGATGTATGAGACCTGGCACCACGGCCACAGAGACCAGATCTGTGGGCATTCTGTCTGTGAAGAGCAGGGCTGCAAGGAAAGCTGTCTAGCATCATGCCAAGGGCAGGGGCTTAGGATCCCAGAGGCTGGAATTCAAATTATAACCACCGAGGCTTGGCCTGTCCCCTGGTTGCTCTGAGTTCTGAGAATAATTATGCCTGTCTCTCTAGGTTGAGGCGTTGAGGCAAGCACCTAGCACTGTGGCTGCTCTTTCCTCAGGCGTCATTACCTGGCAGTCACTTAAGCTATCTTTACATGTTCATGTAGCCCTGGCCCCTGAGGTCTCCCCGGGTCTCCAGCCATGCTGGGCACCAGTGGCCCATTTGCCTCCCCTCCGACTTCCTGCCCCTAGTTCTTGATGCCTCAGTTTTGCTTGGTCTTCCGGAATCCCCCAAGTCTTGGCTGGGTTTGGTTTTGCGGCAGGCTGACTTCTCTTAATCTGCAGGGTGAGAAACCCCCCTGTACTGGGTTTTGTGTTGCTTCTGCTGTGGCTCCCCAGAACAGGTAGCGGGGAAGATACGCCTCTTCGCCAGCAGATGCCTTTGGAAGTAAACTCAGTTACACTCAGGCAGACATGACTTAGAGGCCTGGTCAGTCATTCCTTCAGCATGTGTAGAGCTGGAGATGTTACCACTCCACTCACAGGACGAGGCTCTGTGGCCTCATTAGGTGATCAGTATATCTGCCGCTGCCCAGCGGGTACTCTTATGCCTGAATGCATCCCCTTCAGATCTCTCTCTGCCTAGAAGACATGGGATCCAGGCAGCTAGCCAACTCCATGCACAGTGAAGCTAATATTCTAGCTTAGAATCCGTGGCAGCATGTTCTCATGCAGTCTGACATTCTCTCATTACTTCCTTGGAAATCCTGGTCATCAGATACACCCATGCTTGACCTTGGGCACAGAGATGCTGCCAACGTCAAACAGTTGTTCTTTTCCTAGAGTTTCTCAATTAGAAAACAGTAGCAGCCTCTCTTAGATAGAGTTAATAACAACAGCACAATTCCCATGAGCAGAAGCCCACCAGCCAGGAGCCACAAAGAAAGTAGTATCCCCCCACCTCTCTACCTCATGTGGAAATAGCCGGCATTATCATGTCCCAGCCTGCTTATGGGAGACCACTGGAACTGTTTGAGGATGCTGGGCATGGGAACAAGAAAGGAGAAATGGAGATTCCGTGACCAGATGGGTAGGCACAGGCCAGGCAGAGAGAGGAGTGTGAAGTTTCTTTGAGGGCAGGAGAAAAGCCCCTGGAGTATTGTGGGAAGTCTGTAACAACTCAGGTGGAGTGGGGAGGGGGCTAGCTAGGCGTGCAGCAGCCAGCCACGGGGCTGGCAAACTGGGCAGCCACGCAGATGGAAGAGGTTCCAGCAGGCCTTTGGGACAGCTGGGCTGCCTCCTGGAGAAGCCTTGTGCCACTCCCTGAGGGGAGGAGGAGGCTCCATTTTGAAATCTTTCTTCATTTTTCCCCACCTGACTTGCTAGTCAACAGGAACTAACTGGGGGAAGATAGATACCTGTTTGCCTCTCTGACTTCAAAAGATTCACCTGAATTAACAGGACAGGTTTAGTCTTGTTAGGAAAATGATGTTGGCGTGCCATGGGTCCCTCCAGCCTTTTGCTGAAGCACAGTGGAGTGGCTCTTAGTTTCCCTGTTATGATTTTAGTTATAGGAGAAAGAAGGGTCCATTGTGACATTTCTACATATTACAGTGTATTCCCGTCACTCACTCCCTGTTCCTCTCCCTCTCCCCCTCCCCCTCCCAAAACAGTTTCAACTGGTTTCATTGTTCATAGTTGTCAACAGTATACTTGGACTGTAATCATCCTCTTTCATCATCCTCTGCCAGGGCACCCCACACACAGAGCCCACCCCCAGCTCACTGTTGATCAACAGCTTTCATTGAAGTTCTGTATGCTGCTTTTTGGATGTGTGCCATGTTATTTCATAATTATTCTTTCTCTTTTCTTCTTCCCCTTCTTCTCCTGAGAGTCTTTTAGCCATTTTTTTTTTTACCGTCTTCATATTTAAATAAGAACAGGCCTTCCCCACAAGCCCATCCAAGCCTCGGAATTGTTGAAGTAAGTTGTACTTTTACCTTGAGTGGAGCTTTCTTTGTAGACATGCCTCGCTGTGGTTGAAACCAATTGCAAGAGTCTTTGGGGGCACCAACTCCTCTGTCCGCCCCCCTCCGCCCCCTGCCCCAGATCTGGACTGGGAATCCTGGTGAGGGAGGCCTCTCAGCTCTGCACGTGGTGTGTGCTGACATGCTTTCTCATGATTCTCCTCACAGTCTGCATAAAAGTCATTTGCTTACGCATCTGTTTGCGTTGGAGCTGGGATTAGACCCAGGCCTTTGTGCTTGCCAAGTGTGTGTTCTCCACTGAGTCCTTTGTTGGGTATATATGTAAACATCTCCCAGTCTAGAGGGTGTCCTGCTCTCACATCTTAATAGTGTCTTATACTGCACAGTTTTTAATTTTACATAGTACTTTACCCAGTTTGTTCCTCTTATTTAGCACTTTTATGTTCTGCTTAGGAAATTTTTGCTTGTTTTATGGAGTTTTAAAGTCCTCCACATTTGTTGAAATTGAAGCATGGAGGGGCTGGATGTGGTGATAGTGACACATGCCTGTGATCCTAGCTACTTGGAAGGCAGAGATTGGGAGAATAGAGGTCAAGACAAGCCTGAGCAAAAAAAAAGCTACCAAAATCTCACATAGTAAGTTGGATGTGATGGTTTACATCTATAATCCCAGCTACTTGGGAAGTGTAGGTAGGAAGTTCACAGACTGAGGTTGACTCCTGGCAAAGGGAGAAACAGACAGGCAGACCTTAACTGAAAAATAATCCAAGCAAAAAGGCCTGGGAGTAGAGTATTTGCCTAGCAAGTACAAGGCCCTGAGTTCCAACTTCAGTACTGTTTGTTTTTTCGTTTTTGTTTTTTAAAGAAAGGACCCTTTTTTCTAGTCTGTTGGCTCTTCATCTTTTGCAAACCCAAGATTTATGAAAAGGTATCTAAACCTCTGGAGTCTGCCAGAAGTGTACATTCATGCCTGCACTGCAGGTCCTCCTGCAGCCTCAGGGAGTTCAGACTGACATCCAGCCTGTCTCTGGGCCCTGGGTAGTTGGGTGAGGAAATCAAGACCCAACTGGGAGCTGAACCAGGTCTCTTAACTCCTGTCCAGTGTTCTTTCTGGCACAGCTTCTTGCTGTCATCTTTCTGAGAGTGCAGAGGGAGTGTCTGAGTCTAGGAAAATCACCGTCCACCTGCGGTGCGTGTGACTCCCAGGGATGCCAGCTGTGTTCTCATTAAACGCTCAAGCTCCAGGGAGACTGGGCCCAAGTTTTCTGAAGGCGGCTGGGGGTGGTCACAGTCTGTACATCTGCCAACAGCCATGACTCAGTGCCCTGGGGTTGCTGCCTCCATCTTACCATGTGCAACTGCCTGCATCCTGCTCAATCTGATTGGTTCTGCTGGGATTTTAAAAAGCACCTTAACGTAATAAGTTCTCAGCCTCCATGCTAGAGCAGGTGAGGCTTGCCCCAGAAAGAAAACTGAAAGCATTGTAGGCAGAGCTCAGAGATTCTCACTAGGCCAGACTGGTTTGTCAGCTGGCAGACAACCCTGGCCAGAGATCCAGTGTGCACACGAATGACTTTCCTTGTGCCCTGCTGTTCTGCTACCCCTGCCTGTAGTGGCTCCTTCCTCTTGGCAGCTTAGGGAAGCCAAGAGACCACTCATACCCCAGCACCAGCTTGCCTTGCATGCATGAGGCCCTGGGTTCGATTCCTCAGCACCACATAAGCAAAAAGAAAAAAAAGCTGGAAGTGGTGCTGTGGCTCAAGTGGTAGAGCGCTAGCCTCGAGCAGATGAAGCTCAGGGACAGTGCCCAGGCCGAGTTTCAGCCCTAGGACTGGCCAAAAATAAAAATAAAGAATGAACTATGAAGTTCACAGGTTGGCATGACATGCTTGCTACTCAAAAGATTGTTGCTTCAAGATCTCAGGTACTGGGGCTGGGAAGGAGGCTCAGTGATAGAGCGCTTGCCTTGCATGCATGAGGCCCTGGGTTCGATTCCTCAGCACCATATAAGCAAAAAAGAAAAAAGCCGGAAGTGGCGCTGTGGCTCAGGTGGTAGAGTGCTAGCCTTGAGCTGAAGAGCTGAGGGACAGCGCCCAGGCCCTGAGTTCAGGACCCACGACCAGACCCAAAAAAAGATCTCAGGTACTAGGGGCCCATACCCATGCTCGGCAGAGGCTCAGTCAGAATCAGAATCGCTCTGCATTAGGGGGAAAGAGCAAACAGTAGAGGAGGTAAGGTTGATCAGGATACATCTCATGCATGAGTGGAATGTCACAATGAAACCCCCTCCTATATAACAAATGCTAATAAAAAAGAAAACAAATGTTGGCTGGCGCCGGTCACTCATACTTATAATCCTCACTACTCGGGATGCTGAGAGCAAAGGATTGCAGTTCAAAGCTAGTCCAGGCAGGAGAGTCCATGAGACACCTGGCTCCAATTAACTACCAGAATGCTGGAAGTGGAGCTGTGGCTCAAGTGACAGAGGGCTAGACCTGAGCAAAAAAACTCCAGGACAGTGCCCAGGCCCTGAGTTCAAGCACCAGGACCAACACACACATACATAGCCTATGCCTACATAGGCTGTGGTGACCTTTACCACCCCACATCCCATCCCTGCCCCACCTGCTCCAGACTAGTCTGGTGCGGAGCCCTTGGGCCCACTCCACACTCCTCAGCTTTGTCACCTGCTCTTCTTTCTCTTTCAGGCATGAAGAAGTCAGTGGTTTACAGCTCACTAAAGCTGCACAAAATGTGGAAAGGATGGATGAGGAAAGCACCCTGATTTTGCTTGTTTTTGTGTATGTTATATATAGTGAATAAAGTTCGGTCCTTTTTGACATAACAGTTTGTTACCTTGACCTACTACATGAATTTGAAGAGGCTGGAGTGTGTGTAATACTTGATTTTTAAAAGAACATTTTCGTTGGCATTTATCCAAGTGGGGCCCAAGTATGTGGAAGGGGCTACATGGCAAGGGGAGGGTCCTGTCTGAACAGAGCCCTGAGGTCTGCCCCCGGGGCACCACGGTGGGAGGTGTGTCAGCACTGCGCATGCCCATGAGCTTGGAGGCTGGGAATGTGCCAGCCAGGCTGTTTCCCTCACCAGCCTCCCCTGTGCTCTGTTGGGATTTGCTATCCAGGGCTCCCAAGTATCAAACAGTTCTTGGAATTAGGCTTTTTATGTTCTTTTGTTTTCCACAAGGCATGCGGGGGGGGGGGGGGAGGAGAGCTCTTCACAGCTCTCCTGAGGTAACTGCACACCCACTTGGCCTTTTCTTTCCATCTCTCTGCTGTGTGTGCCTTTGGAGTGTGGGCCTCCTACTTACTCTGCTTTCCTCATAATTAGGAGACTTTCGGGGCTTTCGCTGGGCCCTGTCTACGTTTGTTTACATGCTTTCGGGGCTTTCGCTTGGCCCTGTCTACGTTTGTTTACAAACTCTCCTAGAAAAGAAGGCATCCAAACAGCCCCAAGCAAGCCCTAATTGTCTGACACCCTCATCACAGCCAAGAGATAGAAACTGGCCCATTAGCTCAGCCCGAGCCACTTGCCCCAATCCCAGGGCCAGCCAGGCTTGGGCTGGAGGGTAGGCAGAGGCACTCAGATGGGAACTGGGGAGGGGTGGGTGCCGGGAGCAGCTCACGCACCTCACCTCATACCAGCATTGAGCCTCAGGTTCAGCCTGCGTCCATCCAGCTCCTGCTGTACATTGTCTCAGCACTCTTTGACAGATTGTTTCCTACCTTTGGGCTCAACCCATAGCAATCCAGATCAAAGCCTCAGAGTGCAATAGTGTTCCATCAGACTGGGTTGAACACAGACTCACTGCTGTGCAACTCTGAGCTTACTGTTATTTAGTATGAAAAATGAGCTGGTAATGACAAAGTCCCTGGAGTTGTGGTATGTCGTGAGTGCATGGTATTTTTTTTTTTTGTCGGTCATGGGGCTTGAACTCTGGGCCTGGGTGCTGTCCCTCAGCTCTTCAGCTCAAGGCGAGCGCTCTACCACTTGAGC